ATGGGGGCAAAGGGAAACACCGCAGCCCAGATGGCCCAGGTATGTGCCTAATGCCATTTCTGGGCACCGGTAAATGCCATTAATTTGTCAGTTGAGCTGGTCCTCCACGTTGCAAATCCCAAACGACTTGGTCCTGACAGATAATTCTTGTTAGTGTTGCAGGGGTGTGGGCAGAGAGTTGCCAGGGAAACATGTTAGCCCTATGCAAGCACCTTGGGGTTTGCACCTCTGATCAGTTAGGGATGGAGTCACGCCCTCTAGTCAGGGGAATGAGTCATTTCACCACCCCCGGTAATGGCTTGGACACAAGTTTATGAGTAGATACAAAGGCATAAAGTTCAGGTTGACTTGGTGGTAGTCTTTGGGTATTGTCAACTGCTTTTCAATTGTTAGGAATCTTATTTAATTTTTCTCATTTAACTGAAAATCTCTTCAGTGGTATTTTAATTGTTTGTTGTTCAGTATCTAACACCCCAAAACTTAGTCTGTAAGATGAAGATTGACTCTGGGTGCATCAGGTGGTACTTCTGTCCCACTTGGCCCTGCTGGGTCACTGGCATAGGGTCTGGGGCCTCTTCCGCATAGGTGGCCTCCTCCACATGCTGCCTCGTCCTCTAGGCCTCCCACATGGTGTCTCTTTGGCAGGGCAGCCTGGGCTTTCTCACAGCACAGTATCCACCTTCCAAGAGGACACGCTTGAATGTGCTTATCCAGCCTCTGCTTCTCAGGCTTGCTAATGCCCCACTGGCTGAAGCCAGGCAGGTAGCCAATCCCAGAGTCAGCCCCAAGAGGGGCTGCACAAGGGGGTGAAGACAGAAGGCATGGCTCATCAGGGCCCCATGACTGATTTTTCAGATTTTGTGGTGTGACCCCATGGTGCGAGCTGGGGTCACTCATGATCCAAGAAAGGCCTGTATCGCTTGTCTGGGCCTTGGTGCTGACAGTTGGCTGGGGCCACCGTTCCATAAGTATCTCTCCCCATGAGGTGTTGCTCTCCAGGGCTTTTACACACCCTCTACAGGATAGCTTGGACTTCCTTACACCGTGGTTGCTGGGGCATAAGAGAGCAAATGGGGAGCTGCTAGTCCTTTTAAGGCCCAGGCCTGGAACAGTGTCACATTTACTGCATTGTGTTGGTCAGAGCAAGTCACAAGGCCAGCCTGGACACAAGGATGGAGGTTGGACCTTTCGACATCAGGACTGCCCTGTGTTTACAGAGAGGGGAGGCCGGGTTGGCAGCCTTATTTTCAGGCAGACTACAAGTAGGGAACACCCAGAACCTGGGTTTGCCAAGGGGCATTTTGTTGCCAGTGCTGGCAGGGCTCTGACTCCCTGCAGGAATGGTGTTACAGGGTGAGGGTAGCTTTCAAGATACTTTTTGTCTTTAATTGGATGAATCTTTTCAGTCTAGTGAGGATCTGTACAGTTCTTAGGCTAAGTTTATTGTTGTATCCATTTCCTGAAATCAGAGCATACTGAAGTTGTGTATTTTCATTCTGTTTTTGACTTCAGGCACTTTCTTTAAGTAAAAGCGGCAGAGAAGGTGAAGATGTCCACCATGGTTTCCATTTGCTTCTCACCGAAGTTAACAGGACTGGTACGAAGTACTTGCTTAGAACTGCCAATCGGCTCTTTGGAGAAAAGTCTTATGATTTCAACTCAGTAAGTCATAATTGCTGTTGTTCACTAAGAAAGTAAAGGCAGTGAGGAGGAGGGATCATGTGGAACAGCGAGAGTTGTGGGCTACGAATTCACACAGATGGGCATGAACTCAGGTCTGCTAACCTCATGCACTTCCTTTAACTGTCTTTCAGTTTTGTCCTATGTAAAAATAGCCTTATAACAACTACTGTCCAAATTTTTGTGAAGCATAAGTGAATCACTGAAAGAAAAAAAAAAAACCAAGCATGGAGCATAGCACAATGCAAGATGAATTGGCTAAAACAAAGAAATACTCAAATGAATATTTGCAATAATTGTTTTCTACATATTGGTAAATTTTTTTGTGTGCGTTGTGAGACATAGTCAATGTTTTACACATGTAAATATTTTTATTGTTTTTTCCAATGCAAAATTTTAAAAAAGATTTATTTGTCTAAGTATACTGGTTCTCTTTATTTACAATGCTTTCATGATTTTTTTCATTTTTCATAAGCTACTCGAGTAATATGTGAGTACAGTAATACCTTGGTTTGCGAGCATAATTTGTTCTGGAAACAAACTACTTGTATTGCAAGACATTGCTCATTTACCAAGTTAAAATGTATTAGAAATGTTTGCTTGTCTTGTGGAACACTTACAAACCAAGTTTCTCGCAATCCAAGGTTTTACTGTATATTCTTTTTAAATAAAAATGCAAAAAAGCAGACAAAGGAAGAGTCCTCCTCACAACCTCTTTTCCATACTGTATCGCTTGTTTCCCCAGTATAAGAACTTTTATAGATTTGATATGTATCCCCCTGTACATACAGTAATTTGTTTTGTGGCATTTCTTCCTACATAACTTCATTTTACCAAGTATATTCTTCTGAAATTTGTTTCTTTCTACCTAAAGACGTAAATTTTTTGCCTCTTGGTATATGTGGAACTACTTTACTCTTTAGCTGTTACCTGGTATTCTTTTTCTATATTTCATATTTTTTTCCTTTTTGTTATCTGGTATTCTTAAGTATGGATATACCATAACCATTCCTCCACTCATGGGCATTTAGGTTGTATCCAATATGAGCCATACAGACAGTGAACACTCTTGTATGTTTGGTACTCCAAGGTAGACTTGTAGAAGAGAGGAAGGGAGGGACGTTTTAAGTGAATATTAGTGCATACTGCAAAATTGCTGTCCAAAATGCTGTAGCCACACCACAGTGTGATTTTTTTTTTATCCAACTTGCTTTTTTATTTTTATCAGTCTTAGCCACTTCGTAGGTTGTTACCATCTTTTTAAAAGCCTTAGATATGAAGAAAAACAAAACTTCCAATAAACTCAAAGGGTCCCAAGATCATGTGAAATTATGAAAATAGATTAAGGGATATAGCCAAATACAAATAAAAGAAGTAAATATACTGACAAAAACATAAACATAGAGGGGATAAATAAAAATTGTAGCGATTTTAGAATGTGTTCAAACATAAGCAACCATGAACTTAAAATGGACTGGTATAAACATAGCTTGGTATATATGAAGCACATCATAACCACAAACCAAAAATCTATTACAGATATATGAGCAATAAAAGATAGTAATCGAAACATACTATAGAAGGTCATCTACACAGAAGACAGCAAGAGAATAAGAAAGGAATAGAGAAGAACTACAAAACAATCAGAAAGCAATAAATGGCAGTAACTACATACCTATGAATAATTACTTTAATTGTAAGTGGACTAAATGCTTCAATCAAAAGACATAGGGTGGCTGAATGCATAAAAAAATAAAACCCAGGGCCGGCCGACTGGCGCGATGGTTAAGAACT